AATAATATATTCCCTATCCAAAAAAATAAAAAAATAAAAAATAATAATAATCACACATTCTAACATTTTATTGCTTCATTTATAGCTTAGATCAGAGGTTCCCAAACTTTTCAGCCCACGATCCCTTAAATAACAATGTCAGTCACTCGCGACCCCCAAATTCCTCTTTGGTAGTTATACATATGCAAATGTTGCTCATACAACAATAGGTCTACAGTATATAAACATGAGCATATTGACAACACAAAAAGTGCAGTCTAACAATCATATCATTTTTATAGTCATTTATTAATTTGTTTAATTTAATATTAACTTCAACTAAAAAGACTTTTGTTTTGACAATGTTTTCAAGCATAAGTCTATTCTTGGTTTAACTTTGGAGACAAATGTGCAGTTGTATTCTGTATTTATTTTTAATGTGTTTGATTGCCATAAAGGTGTCAGAAAGTTTAACCTGGTGCTATAAAATGAATTTGCTGCAGCCGATGCGATTGCTGTGTTGTTAATCTGACGTAAACACATTGATCCTATAAAAAATAATAATAATTTAAAGGCTGATGGCTTTTCATTTGCATGTTGTTGTTTTTTACTATTAATGTTATTATGTATTTATCTTCTGTGGCTTATGGTAAAAAAAAAATGTAATTCTCATAGTTTAATCAAATTTATTTGACTTTTTAAAATCACCAAGCGACCCCCTGTCATTGTCCCATGACCGCCCAGGGAGTCCCGACCCCTACTTCTGGGTGAGTCAGACCGCTCAATAGGGTTAAGATCTGGACTATGTGGTGGCCAGTAATGTGTAAAAAGATGTCTAATACTCCCTGAACCATTCTTTCACAATTGGAGCCAGATGAATCCTTGCTTCAACTTGGAATATATCCATGCTATCAGAGAAAAATAAATCTATTGATAAAATAAACTGGTCATTCATTACATTCTGGTAGTAAACTGACCTAATTCTTTGGGCACATAAAGTTACTAAACCTAAACCCAACCAACAGCAGCGTCCCCAGATCATTTCCATAAATAGCCATACATCAATATACAGTATATAACTGTGGTAAAGTTTTAGTCTGTCAAACATTTTTATGACATTTGAAAATGTCTGCTTTAGTGTGAGGGAGTTGAACTTTTAAACTATGAACATGCTGAGAATATCTGCTAGATTCAGCTAGCTGAACACCAACGCCTACGAGGAACCAACAGTACAGTGACCTTAAGATCTCAATGTCAACACCCCTTGACATGGAAAATGTTGTTTTATCATATGCCAATTGTTGCATTGTTCTAGTATATTGCAGAAATAAACACACACACTCGAAAAAAAATCAATGAATCAAGCAGAGCGGAGTGTGCCTTTTAGATTTTTCCCCATCACTGCCCACCGAGTGTCAGTACAATCTTTAGGGATTTACATCTACACAACCACATGCTTGGTCTCCAAATTCAATCTGGAAAAGCCAATGAATATTCTGATTTTCCCCCCTAAAAAATCTCCATTTTGATTCCATTGAGAAAACGTACTCAGCTCTTTCCACACTCGGATGCCTGCAAACATAGGACACGCACCCATTTGTCTTCCAAACTTGCTGTGTGGCACTTTTTGTGGAAGTTGTGCTGTTATGGGGTCTTTTTAAGCAGCCGTATTCTGGCCACGTAGAAGCGGTAATGAGGATGAATGCTGATGCGTTCTCCACACTCTTTTCCTCTGAGCGTCACGCGCTCCCTATGCAGCCGGGGCTTTGCTCTCTGCATGAAGGCTCCTTAACCGTCGACTGCCGCTGATCCGCTAACCAGACTCCTCCCGCAATCAATGCCCCGAGTACCAGCGCTTCACGCAAGGCTGTGTGATCATTACCGCCCATCTGTACTGTCTGACGATGAGCCCCCGACATCCTCATCCGTCACACTGCCGTCTACATTTCAGGATTAATCATTTGTTCCAATATTTTAGCTTGATGCTACACAATATGTCTGTTATGATAGTCTAATGTCTTGTAATGTTGTAGATAAAACAAATATTGAATCCCAACCAATCGTAGCTTGAAAAACATGTAAGATGTCACTGAGAAGGCGGAGCTATAGTGACTAGTTTCAAGAAATAAGAGTATAAAGCAACAATGTTTACTGAAGCAACATGTTTTTCCAATACAAATGTTCTCTCTCAGAAGTTTTAAGTGTTAGTATTTCTTTCAGTACATTATTGGTGTCCTAGTCATTGTGAGGTGTCAACTATGAGGCACTAGATGAAATTATTGATTCTTGTAATTGACTGATGTTTATGAATCACCACAGCAATCTATATAAAAATCAGACTATTGTTGTGAAGTCTCAACCTGAATTTCTGTATCAAATGTTTTAAGTCATTTTTTCATCAACCTATCCTGTTTTTTGTGTAATCAAATTGTAGTTGATTTAAAGTCTGAGAATTTTATTCTAGATTAGTTAAATTCTTTCTTTATTTTTTCTTTGTTTATTTATTTGTTTGTTTGTTTCTTTTCTTTCTTTCTTTCTTTCTTTCTTTCTTTCTTTCTTTCTTTCTTTCTTTAAATAATAATACAATTATGAAGTTTTATTTTTTGTAAACAATAAACCAGGACCTCGTAGTAAAAAAACTGGACAGGTTAACAAAACATAATTTCAAACAATTGACAAATTAAATAACATTTTCAATCATAACAATATTTTAGATTCTCTATTTACAAAACAGATTCTTTAAATTTAATAGTATTCTGAGCAGAAAAGTAGAAGTTACCCAGCAGGCACAGGACGTCAACATGACGTCAGATTGACGTTGTACCCCAATGTCGGGGGATGTAGCATTTTGTTTGGAAATGAAAATCAGGCTGACATCAGAACCCAACTTTAGGTCGACATTAATGTCCTTAGTCAAACCTAAAATCAACCAGATATCAACGTCTTATGATGTTACAGCTTGATGTTGTGTGGATGTTACCATTATAAAGTCTATTAGATGTTGGATTTTGGTTGTCATACCTGACGAATAAATTTCAGTATTTAATGTCTATATCCCTCGACTTTGAATTTTGGTCACTTTCCACACAACCTAAAATCAACCAAATATCAACGTCATTTGATATCATTATTGGACGAAATTATTATCAAAATACTGTTGTCCTTGGACGCTGGCTAGACATTGAATTTTGTCCTACTATCATTATCTTATGACGCTGTGTGCCTGCTGGGAGGAAATATAATTATAAAACAAATGAAAATGACGTATACAGACATGCACACAAAAGTGTCGAAACAAGTCATATGACTTCTCACCATGTTTACTCTCTATTAAATATACACACAAGTCCACTTGTATTGAACTTTAACACACATTATCATTAGTAACAAAAGTTGTCATCTTCGGTTTTCATGTCCAGATAGTTTTATAAGTTTAAAGATCATTTCTACATTTACCATGTCAGGGTGTTTACAGTAGCCTCCACTGTTAGAGGGGCTGGAATGGCTGCCTAGTTAGTAAACTAAAGTCCATCTTACCATCTTGACTATGCTGCTGCCCTGGTGGCTGTCTGGTTAGCCATTTTCATGCACCAGCTCTGAGTAAAAATACTCACATACTCGCATACTTCTCTCCTTTGTCCAAATCCAAATGTACACTCTCAGAAAAAAGGTACACGTGGTACAAATAATGTTAAGGAACAGTTGAAACTAACAGTAAAAACAGTAAAAGTTGAACCTCATATTCTAGAAAAAGTCCTCTTATGATACTGGTTAGCACCTTTTATGGTACACTGAAATGAAGGTATGCAATTGGTCTCATAAAAAAAGGTACATAAGTGTTGGACAACTCCTTTATTACAATATCTATAAAAATAAATATTGCTGGAAAGACAAAGTGATTTTAGGAATAATTTCCATATTAAAACATGAATTATCATTTTAAAACATGTTTAAAGAAACTCATAAACATTAATTATTAAGTTCTATAATACAAAACAACTGGTAAAACAAACTAAAGTATTGTAAAATAAACATTTAAGTCATTTTAATAAAGATTTGGTAAGCATTTTCTGATAAATACAGTTTTATTATGGATATCCGCACCTTTTGTTGTTTTATTTCCACTACGCACTTGAGCTAGCAAAGTCCTGTATATGCAAAAGGTTCATGTAGTAGACATTTAAGTATTGTAAAACTAATCAAACATTGTGCATATCTCATTACAATTTCTTTTGTCATAACTCTTTTTCCATTTTAAAATTAGGTAAATTAAATTAACTTATAAGTGATTACAAAGATATTGTGTAAAGAATTGGAGAAATAAAATGTTTTATATTGTACATGAGAGAATGTGTTTCAAAGTATTGTGAAATGTTTATCAAAAATTTGATCTTTTGATTTATGTTAAAGCACATTTTATTTATTGTAAATGGAAAAGGTGCATTTAAACAAAAAAAAAACTTTTTCAAAAGCATTGTTTAAAAACGTATTTGATGTTTTATATTTACTAAAAATATAATTTTTGGATATAGCAAAATGCCTCTAAATAGTTCTTAAAGGAAAAAATTTGACATTAATCAAATGTACAAAGTGTCTTGTCACTGTAGTGAACTTTGCTCAGTTTTTGCTTGACATTAAATGCATTATAAAACTGACTTTGGAAAAAAGACACAGCGTGTTTCAGAAAAACAAGAAATGTGACAAATTCCAGGAAATATGCTAATACACTCTTCAGTAAATCTAATTTACATAAATGTGTTTCTATTAAAACATCATCAAAAAGAGACTTTTTATTAATTTTGTAAAATTATTCTAGACTTTGTGTTTTGCGAAAGTTCATTTACTTCGCAAACACTGTTCAAGCACAGTTGCAACAAATAGTTTGGGTTAACAAAAAGAACAGCACTTGATGTAGTTAGTGGTGTTTTGACCTCAGTATAGTCTCTGTTTGTCCTTCTGAACCCTTCAGTCTGGTGTAATCTTTCTGTCTCCTCCTCTCCCTCTCTCTTTCTCCACATCAGCTTCACACTGACATGGACAGAGGTGATGGACGCACTAAGTACGTGCTGCGGGGCGAGGGGGCGGGGTCAGTGTTCGTGATTGACGAGAAGACTGGCAACATCCACGTAACCAAGCCCTTGGACCGGGAGGAGAAGGACGAATACCGGCTGATTGCCACAGCAACAGACAGTCAGACAGAGCGAGCCCTGGAGCCCTCCTCCCAGTTCATCATTAGAGTGCAAGATATCAACGACAACCCACCTGTCTTCGAGGAAGGACCCTACAGCGCCACAGTCCCCGAGATGGCCAATATAGGTAGCGGAAGACAACATATGCTCATCCCCTCTAGCACGTTTTCCTGGTGAATGTCAATGATTTTTGAGTAATGCAGGATTCATGCTGTCCCACCCCCCTCACCCCAAAAAAACCGAATAGATGAAAAGCCAAGGAATTGCTTTCTATAATTTGCGCAGTTTAAATGTTAATGTTGCTCATTCTGGTGATATAACCTCTTGCGTTTATCGATCTTGCATCTATTCGAGACAGACTCAAAATATTATCACTTAGACAAGTCGTGCTTTTGTTTTGCCTGAAATGGGTCTAATTAATTTCAAAGCATCGCAAGAAATGCTCGGGGTGAAATGCCATTCAAATCTAATATTCCGGCGACGTGAATGCGTTATCAGTCTAAATTGTGGCGTGTCTCTTCAGTCGTACTCAGACGGAATATGAATAGATTTCTTTGAGCATTTGCGTGTTGCGTCAACCCGTCAGTTTTTTGATCTGATCGTTTACAGTCGCTCTCCCACCGTCGTCATTTGCCGCTTCTTAACTACCTGCGAAAGATGTGTAATCAGACGGCAGCCTCCCATCAACCCACCAGCTCTCTTGGTGACACTGTCAGGCCTTTGATGTCTGAAAACAGCAACAGCTGCTCCCACAAATCCCCCCGTCCCTCTGAGCTTGTCAGCCACGGCCCCATGGGAAACGTAGTTCTTTTTTTTCCATTGTACATATATATGTGTTCACTTCAAACTGCTCCGGTCTCACGCATGAAACTCTTTGATTTATTTGGTCGGAAAAAAAGTCCATGTCTGTCAGGAACGAAGAGATTGGAGACGTGAGGGAGTTATGGGAACAAGGGAGTGTGGCCGCAGAAACAGGCATAGAGATTGAGAGTGGGAGCAAATGGGGAATTGGAGAAGGAGATGAAGAGAAATGAAGTGAGACAGACAGACAGAGGCGCGAATGAAAGAAGGTGTGCGGCTGGGGAGGAGAGAAAGTGAATACTGTATTTGTCACACTGCAGCAGGGCGAGGAGAGAGGGAGAATCTGTCAGTCTTTATATGGCTCTCTCCATTTAATGTGCTTGTCCTGCGATGACCTGTGCTCATATATGCCATATTGATCATCTCTTATTGTCTTGTATCTCTCCTCCTCAGGGACGTCCATCATCCAGGTGACGGCATCAGATGCAGACGATCCCACGTATGGGAACAGCGCACGGCTGGTGTATACGTTGGTTCAGGGACAGCCACACTTCTCTGTGGATCCTCAGACAGGTGAATCTTTCTTTTCACAACAACTCTTTTTATTGTGATTGGGTCACAATGTAGCACAACATTAGTTACATTTTATTAAGCAAATGTTTATTTTTATTGTTGAGATTTATAATTGTACTTGTCCCAGACCTTCAATCTTTAACTAAATATTAAAAATCCGATATTCATCCATGTCTTGCTCGCTAAACCTATTGAAATTTTGGTTGTAGTCAAAACAAGATTATAATTGTTTTTTTATTGGCAGTTTTATCAGTTTTTTTTTATATAGTTTTTTTATTTTGAAATTGCTCAGTTTTAGTTTAGTTTTTATTAGTTTTAGTTTTAGTTTTTTGTTTGTATTTTGTAAATTAGGATATTTGTTAGGTACAAGATTTAAAATCATCAGAATAAATATTATATAATAAAACTCAAAGATAGGCTAAATTAAGATAGAACACAGAATCTTCCCAAGTTGGGAGTCAATATATTAAATATGTAGTCAACAAGTCAGTTAATACATTACCATGATCTGAAAAGTTTCTTACAATTAAGTTTTGCAAACCAACTTATCGCTTATTTATATTCCATTATGACTTTCGGTTATGAAATAAACATACATTTTGCCAGATCATGCATTCGCTGTATTATTGGTTCACCGCTTCTCAAATCTGATCTCACTGTACTGTTCTAAGGCAGTATCAGTCATGTTAAAAAGTATGTTTCTGTAGATAAGTGCTTAACATAACTGAAGTCGGGAATCATTTCTAATGAATTCGGTGCAATTTGGTGAATTAGTTCAATCGGTTGAATTAGAAGATCCAGTTAAAAAGAAGCATTAGTTCATGATCATGATCACTAATACAGAAATAAAACCCATTATTGGACACGTGTGCTGCTGTCATGTCCAGATGTTGTTTTTGTCATGGATGCAACAGAGAATGACTGGAGGAGGACCGGCTTGATCTTGCCAATGGCAGCAGGATTACAGACTCTGAGGTGCCGTACGGGTCAAACACCCGGCAGCGTGATGTAAATAGATTTACTTCAAAAGGCTGTATGTATTAAATATATTTAATACACGACGAAAACGAAGGACAATTTTTCTATAATTTTAGTCAGTTTCAGTTAGTTTTGTATACACACAAAACAGTTTCAGTTAGTTCTAGTTAAAAATATATATATTTCTATTAACGAAATTTTTTTTTAATTCGAGTTTTTGTTTTTTTGTTAATTTTTGTTTACCATAATACCCTTTATTTAAAAACATTTTCCTTTGGCTTAGCTCCTTATTTATCAGGGGTTAATTAACGGCCACAGCGAAATTAATCGCCAACTATTCCAGCCAGTTTTTTACACAGCGGATGCCCTTCCAGCCACAACCCAGTAAACACCCATACACTCTCGCATTCACACACACTCAAACACTATGGCCCATTTAGTTTACCCCAGTCACCTATTCTGCATGTCTTGACTAGAGGAAACCCACGCGAACACGGGGAGAACATGCAAACTCCACACATAAATGCCAACTGGCTCAGCCAGGACTCAAACCAGCAAACTTCTGTGAGGCGACAGTGCTAACCGCTGAGCCACCATGCCACCCCCTAGTGAAAGTCTTTCCCAAATAGAAAAATAGTTTGAAATGACAAATACTGAATATTGGTATGGCTGCATCAACAGTCTTTCTTAAAGCGTTTTTAGTTATAAGTAAAATAAATAATTTTAAAAAGTATTACTATTATAATAATTATTATAATAATACATATCCATATAATAATACATGACATTATATTAGGCATCTTCTGTAAATCATAGTTAAAATGTATGAAATTTTCTATTTTTGATCCTCTTAATCCTTTAAGAATTTAAAATCCATAAACAGTCAAAAGTGACACTTTGACATGAAATTTAAGAAGATCAATTATCACCTGTTAAAATTAATTATCACAGTTATTATGTGCATGATTTTAATTACTTAAACATCAAATATCAAATGCTGTTAATGAAATTAGCCTTAACATGGCGCCAGGCAAAAATGGTATTATCGAAATGTTTCAAATGTCATTGCCTTCTGAAATGATGAGCATTACTGGTCACTAACATACAGTAGTGAGTTTTAAATGTTGGTGAACAAGATGTTGGTTAACCACCAGCTATATCAACATCAAACTAGCACCATAAACCAAAGATTTATTTATTTAAAGGTTTAACCTGTAGTTATAAAATAAAATAAAATAAAATAAAATAAAATAAAATAAAACAAAAAAGCAAAAAACAAAACAAAACAAAACAAAAAATAAAATAAAATAAAGGCAATGCGATGGCACAATGGGTAGCACGTTTAGGTACATGTGAATTAGGTATGCTAAAATTGACCATAGTGTATGAGTGTGTGTGAATGAGTGTGTGTGGATGTTTCCTTGTGTTGGATTGTGGCTAAAAGGGCATCCGCGCAAAACATATGCTGGATAAGTTGACGGTTAATTCCGATCTAGCGACCCCTGATTAATAAAGGGACTAAGCCAAAAAGAAAATGTAAATAAAATAAAATAAAATAAAATAAAATAAAATAAAATAAAATTAAATTAAATTAAATTAAATTAAATAAAATGAAATGAAATGAAATTATGTGACTGCAAACAACGATATACATATATATATATATATATATATATATACATATCGGTTTAGTATAGCTTGAGTGTCAAACATTTAATAACCAGCTGGGATGCCATCACTCTGTATTAAGGTGCATTTGTAAGTATCAGATGATAACTAATGCACAAAAATTTCTGTGCTCAATTGGAGTTGAAGGGTTAATCCACATTTACTGCAATAACACATTTACTACAAAAAAACATACTCTGTTGTAGCAACCAGTACACCTAACTGACTCCCACTATATTTGCCTTCTTTACTGCTGGTTGCTAGGTTACCAATGCCACAGTCAGCTGCTCTAACAACTTAATGGAATTGCATATAATTTACATTTGGGATTTCTTTTTTTGGGAATTTTTTTTTTCAGTGTGGAAAACCTAATACAAAGTTCTTCATCGAATTCTCCCCATCCTTCAGCCTTAATGGAAGTTTTTAATCCTCAAGTGAAGTCACAAAAAATCAGTGAAAATGCATTCAAATTTTTTTGTTGAATAAAGAGCCTTCAGTTTTACGGTGTAGGTCTGTCTCATTCCCTGATCAGACATTAGTGCCACCTCTCTCCATTCAAAGCCCCGATCGCTTCCTTAAGTTCCCCTTCATTCTGTCATCTGGTTCTTTCCTCTTTCCTCTTTTCCTGGCTCTTTCCTCCCTCACTTCAATGCTCGTTAATCCAGACTGACTTGGCAGAAATGTATTCATACCGCTGAGCTGCTGCACTTTTCAACAAATGCTGAAAATACTAACTCAAATCACACTTCTAAGGGCTGTAGAAAAAAATAGAGAAAAGCTTCAAAGTGGGACACCAGAACAGGTTTGTGAACTGTTTAAAAAAAAAAAGCTAAATTCTGTCATCATTTACTCCCCTTTATGCCAACCTGTGTAAATTTTCAGTGGAACAAAAAGTCAATTTTTAGTCTTACCCATACAGTTACAAATCAGTGACCAAGCTCTTAAAAAAGACAAAATCACCATAAAAGCATCATTAAAAAATAGTTTATATGACTTGTGCATCATATTCTAAGTCTTCTGAAGTCTTGCGATAGATTTGCATGTGATTTGCAAGTCATTATTCCGTGGCACCTCCAAAAGCTCACATACCCTGCGTCTGCTTCCAGAATAAATGATCATTCTTACATTTTTAATTGATGATAAATTGTCCCCAAGGCTTATATACAGCTTTTTAGTAAATACATTAAAATTGACTTTCTTCTTCAGGAACAAATGATGTTTTTCGCTTGAGTGATTGAAGAAACATTCTTGCAATCTGTCGACTTCAATGTCAATCTGTTTCTCACATGAAGATTGTACCAATTCATGTCAGGCTACTTTTTTTCATCTCTTGTGTGTTTTTTGGCAGTTTTTTAGGCCTTTCTGTTCAATCATTTTGGGTAATTAATATTTTTTAGGCAAGGAAGCATTAAATTGATAACAGGTGACAGCAAAGACCTTTATAATACTATAAAAAGATCCGATCAAAAACATTTTATTCTTTAAAATATTTAAGTCGAGGTCATATCAAGGTGTTTTTGGTTTGGTTGATATCTTTGATAAACAGGGCTTTAGGTCTTTTCAAGATTTGAAAGAAGGTTACAATTTCCCTGGACATTTTTATTTTCTGTATTTAAGGCTGAGAAATGCAATGCGTGCCTATAGAGTTCCGTGGAACTGTAATTTGGACATTCATCCATTGAGGGACTGGGTGAATTTTTCTCAGTCATGTGGAGCAGTCTCATGCATTTATAACAAACTGCTTAACTATGACTTCATTACACTCCCCATCATCACAATATTGGAAAAGGAACTGGCCCCTTACAAACTGAATTGGGACTGGATATGGGAAAGTATCCAGGTGAAAAATCCTGCTCATCAACTTATACACTATAATCTGATCCACAAGGCTTATGCAACTCCATATATGCTACACAGAATTAAGCGGTTACCTACCTCTTTCAGTGTGTCCACTTATCAATGTATTTTGGGATAAGGTCTTTTAAAGTATTTCAGAATTTTGTGATACGTTTATTTCTAAATTCCCCAATATGTGTTTATTGAATGATGATTATGATTTTAACTTAAACATTCACCAACAAAGGATATTTCATGCTGCACTAACTGCAGCCAAGAAGGTTATATTTAAAATTTGGCATAAACCCACATTCCCAGCTGACAAAAAGTGGCTTATTGAACTAAAAAATACTAAGAGAACAATCTACACAAATAATTAACAGATCTAAACCCCAAACAATCATAAACAAAGTATAGTCTGAATTTGCTGAGAAAATTTTTAGATAAACTAAAGTGTACTGAAAGATAAATAGTATTATATTAGAGGTGTATAAAGGTCATTTCTCACCCCAGAGTTTTTTTCTTTTTCTGTTTATTGTTATTTATTTATTAATGTTTAAATGTATCTTCATTTTATGCAAACTCTGCCTTGTATATAGTTGTTGCTAGCTATGTATGTTGACTTTGTTCTGTAATAAATAAATAATCACAAAAAACCCAACATTTCATTCTATCCCATATAGAAATCTGATATATGGAAATATATGCCACTGACATATGACATACAAGTTTATATTTGAATATCACATATCTAAAAAAAAATTCATATAAGGGTCACATACACTAAAAAATGATACTGCATATCTACTCATTAAACTTGAGGTAACAGATTACAAGCATTATTATTAATTAAATTCAACATATATGGAAGTAACAATTAATTAAATTAGCTAATTTAAAATTAGTCATTTAAATTGAATAACCACAAACTGTAATTAAAGAAAATAGCAAAAAACAATGTTAATGAAAACTACTCAATGTTTTTATTTTGATTGAAGAAAATTTGTGGAGCCTGTTCATCAGCTCTAAAAAATAAGCAATATTATTAAATAAATTCAACAAGTATAGAATTGGACATTAACAAATATTTTTTAAAAGCAATACACTTAAATTGACATATAAGTGATTTATCTCATGAAAGGTATTAGTTGGCAGAACAATGCAGATTCATTGAAGCAAAGAGGACACAGCAGTTCATGGGAATACTACCCTCTAATATATTCCTGTGTTCACTAGACCACAGGTGTCAAACTCCGTTCCAAAAGGGCCGCAGCTCTGCACAGTTTAGTTCCAACCCTAATTAAACACACCTGATCAAACTAATTGAGTCCTTCAGGCTTGTTTGAAACCTACAGGTAAGTGTGTTGGAGCAGGGTTGGAACTAAACTGCGCAGGGCTTCGGCCCTCCAGGAATTGAGTTTGACACCCCTGCACTAGACAGTCACTTGTAAAACACCTTTCCTTGTTAAAGTTAAAATGCATAACTCAAACCCAGGTGGACACAAGCTCTGGGAATACAAATATTTTAAGAAATTGCAAAAATGTCCATTGAAATATTTTTATTAACATGTCAGTTACAACCATTGGAATTTCAAGTACATATATGTTGAAATACATTAGATGCAATTATGTATGTTTATTTATGGCTATATATAAACACATATATATATATATAATTATAGCTAATATATTTGAACATATATAGTCAAGCCTAAAAGTATTCATACCCCTGGCAAATACTGACTTAAAGTTACTTTTATTGAACCAGCAAGTTTTCTTTTTTTTTTGGACTGGGAATGACACAGGCTTCTCCCAAGATACAATAAGATAATGTTCAAAAGGCAATATTGTGGAAAAATATATTTTTTCAGCTTTTATTTACAAAAACAAAAACTTTAGGTCAGAATTTGCTAGGGGTATGAATCATTTCAAGCCCGACTGTTTGTGCATATTTGTACATCCAATGATTAAAACAATTATAAATATATAATATATATAGGTAAGTGGCAATTTTTGCAATATTTCAAAGTATATGTTGCAAATATGACATATTATTTATATGTGAAATCCAAATGTGAACTTGTAAGTCATTATAATATGTAAGTTGCACACAGTGGGGGAAATAATAGTAATACCAAAACATATTTCTAAAGATGCTGTTGACTTGAAATTTCTACCAGATAGCAACCAAAGAAATCCATATATGCAAAGAAAACAAATCTTAAGGTATGTGAATTAAAATGAAATGACACAGGAAAAGTATTGAACACATGAAGAAAGGGAGGTGTAAAAGGGCAGTGATAGCTCAGACAGCAGCTGAAATATCCCAGTAGTTTTTTAGCAACCATCTGCTCTTTGTAAGTGATATTTGCTGCTTCAGTCCAACATTTACACCTTTATACCTACGAGGATGATAAAGATGAAACCAGGGTGGACATTACAGCAAGACAATGATCCAAAACACAGCCAGGAAAACGCTCAAATGCTTTCAAAGATAGAGAATCAAGCTGTAGAATGGCCCAGCCATTTAGCTGACTCAAATCCAATAGAAAATACAAAATAAGCTTGGATAGACAAAACACACAGATCCATCGAGATTTTTACACTCTGTTGAAGTCTGTGAAAAAAATCACACCAAACATGTGACTTCATTCTCCACATGAGAGTCATCTTCAAGCTGCCGTCACCTAAAAAGCCTTTTCTATAAAGTAATTAAAACATCTCAGTGGGTCAGTACATTATCCTAGTGTCATTTTATTGTTATTACACTTAACATTTTTTCATATTTTTTGTTTTGTTTTATTTTTATGTCTTTATTTGTGTTTTTACTAAAATCTGGTTCTATTCCATGTCTAAAGGTCCTTTGGAAATTTTATTCTCAGGAAAAAACATGACTTGTTGAATCCAACCCGGGCTCATTGTGGAAACGTAGCCCCGCGGACGTTTCTGCGGACCGCGATTTACGTCCCGGGAGGTACGTATTCGAGCGGTTTTTTGTTTTCGCGGATCCTCGGGCCGTTCTCGCGCAAATAGCCGCCGGATCGAAAAAAAAAAAAAAAAGCAAAAGCCCTCGTCTTCGATTTTGACCGCGTTTTCAGATCCCGCTGCGTTCTCGCCCTTATTTTCCGGATTCCGTTTTTCGTCTTACCTGATTTCCGGAACCCGCCGTTCCCCGGACTCGATCCCGGTCGTCATCCACCGCGGCCGGCTCCGGCTCGTCCTCCTCCTCTGGGGCCTCCGCTCCGCCGACGCAACGCTGTGAGCTAGGCGGACAAACTGATTGCGTCAGGAAAGCCCTCCACTCGGAGGCCAGCCGTCGGCCGGCGAGCGCGAAGAGGAGGGGCGGAGCGGCGCCACACCGCCCCGCAGCGTTCGCTCGAAAAAAACCAAACGCGGCCTTTACGTACCTCCGGCCACGTAAATCGCGGTCTTCAGAAACATCCGCGGGGCTACGTTTCCAGAATGAGCTTGGGTTGGTTGAATCCCACCCTCTCTATATTGCCATATGTCAGATTTCTATATGGGATAAAAAAAATGCATGATTTCCTCACCATTTATGAAGAATCATATAGATGTGAATAATGGCTGCTGAGAATTCAGCTACCATCACAGGACTAAATTACATTAAAAGAAAAACAGTTATTTTTACATTTTAACAATGTGTCACAACACTTCTGTCTTTACTCTTTGAAATGCAGCCTTGGTGAACAAAATAGACTTCCTTCAGTTGCAAGAAAGCTCTTACCAACCTCAAACTTTTAAACAGTAGTGCAGCTGCATAAAGAGTTGCATAAAAATACACCCTGCTGCGTTCCTCGGAATAAAATAACAGCATATAGGTGCTCAGCGACACGAGGGTGAGTAAATGGTGACAGAGTTTCTGGCTGAACTTTTCCTTGAAATGGCAAGCTTAAATGACACGGCGGAGGGGCCTCTGCGCCTGTCGAAGGGTCTGGTTTGTGACCCGGAGGCTTGCGAGAGGCTTTTATTCAGGGTTACAGGGGGCTGTAGTCATTTGAAAAATCACTCCTGCTTCTTTGTGCTCTAGAGTGGAATTGGCAGTAGTGAAGTGAGCGAAGGGTGATTCTACACACAAGTCGGGACTGTGTGGCCAATCTCTATGTGTGAGCGCAAGGGTTGGGAATAGAATGATGGGTATTTGTGTGTATGACAGGCCAGAAAGAATGAGGCAGGGAGAAGGAGCGAGAGAGTGAAAGATGAATTTTACTGGGCGCACGGATCCATTGTGCCAATGTTTGTGTAGCAGTCGGCGTATTGTGTCTCTGTCTATGTGGATAATGGACTTGCTTGGTGTTTTTATTCCATTTGGCCGTCTAATGAAACCTAATTAATTTTGTTGACATTTGTGGACCCCACGCTGATATGAATGAGAGGGCTTTTTCTCCTGGAGGTTTGTGAATGCTAATCAAGGATATTAACCTAATTCTGTCCTGTATGCATTGGATGGCATTCTTTTTCACTCATTAGCGGGAATTAGCATTCTGAGCTGTAGCGCACTGAAAGGTCTCCTCCTATCTACAGTGTGTAGACACTGTTAAACTTGCTTGTGATATTTTAATAAACCTCAACCGTCGTCCGATGGCAGGAGTCTTGCGCGGGTGACCTTGGCCGTTGGGATGCATTTCTACAAGTTTACGGTCAGAGAACGCATGGAAATGATTTGATTCAGAGGGATGATTGAATTTGTGGTGTGCTTGTCTCCTTGTCTCCTATTCTCCCCCAGGCATCCTGCGCACTGCCGTTCCAGATCTGGATAGGGAAGCGCAGGATCAGTATCTGGTGGTTCTGCAAGCTAAAGACATGGGTGGCCATCTTGGAGGCCTGTCAGGAACGACTACGGTTACTGTACGATTGACGGACGTCAACGACAACCCTCCGCGCTTTGTGCAGAGTGAGTAACAATTCATATTTCGCTTCATGTTTACACATGGGGTCCGATCGTGGCCTTTTTGCTAAATGTGTATAAGCCTTAATGGGATAGATGTACTCACTGTTTACTCCCTCAAGTGGTTATAAGCATTTATGAGTTTCTTCCATCTGTTGAATATGATAGAATTCAATGGTTACAGGTTTCCAGCTTTGTTCAAATATCTTCTTTTGTATAAAAAAAACAGAAGAAAGAAATCAAAACTGCAGAGCGAGGAAATTATGATAACATTTAAATTTTGGAGTAAACTATCCCCTTAAGATCATTGCACACTGACTCTAAAGTTTTTGTCTGAAATTTTTACGTTCAAAAATAAATTCGACCTCACGTCATGTCAATCACACTTACACACTGCCTCCAAAACTTCAGTGTCGTCAAAATTGAGATTGGGTTTGATTTTATACATCAGTTTTCGCATCTGTATAAAATGTTTGAGAGATGTATAAACAGTTCATTTGTTACCGTACAAGCAAAAGCCAATATTCATAATGCTGTCACTGGCAGCACTGAGCACTTTATGACTAAGAAAGTGGATAATATAAAGACAGAATGTGGCAGAACCACTGCTCTAGCCTACTGTATGCTGGTTTCTATACCTGGCAGCGCACACCTTTTCCGTTCCACTGTTTGGTTATTTTTGTGTGTCCATACATTTGACATACTGCCAGTTTCTGTTCCGGATTCATTTCTGGCAATTTGTGTTATGTTACTGCAGTATCACAAGCAAACTATCAAACATGCCACTGATTTTCTGTAATAAGCTTGAATTTTGGGATAATCCTGCACTGCTTTTTGATAAGGAGGTGCACTCTTCTTTCTCTCCATGCAATGGAGACACAATATTTTCTCTTTCTTTTCCTTTTTTAAAGTATTTGTATACATACTTGGAAAAAAACAAATAGAAAATTTCAGACTTCAGTGTGTAACCACTTTTTGGTTTCACCAGAATGTTTCTGAGAAGCTGGAAATGCTAGTTATTAAAAAAAGTGAAATTAAAAACACAGTGTACATTTGTGTCTCTTTAAATCAATTCAGCTGTTGCTGCCCACCTCTTTTACAGAATAAGGTGGAGCATTTACAGTTTGTGCCTCAGATATTTTTGCAACAACAAACACAACATCTTAATGTCCTTTAAAGTCTTGTCAGGTTAAACTTCTGATATAAGATTTTTTTTAAAGCGCACACACAGAAAGCTGTCCAATGACACATCATCATGAATATTCAAAATTGTAGGTTTTCACTAACCACGCTTAAACATTTCTTTCTCAAAACATAATCTTGTACATAAATGTTGCTAACGTACACTTACCAGCCACTTTATTAAGTACACTTGTCCAACTGCTCTTTAACGCAAATTTCCAATCAGTCATTCACATGGCAGCAACCCAATCCGTTTATGTATTTGGACATGGTCAAGACAACCTGCTGCTGTTTAAACCAAGCATCAGAATGGGGAAGTAAGGTGATTAAAGTGATTTTGAACGTGGCATGGTTGTTGGTGCCAGATGGGCTGGTCTGAGTATTTCAGAAACTGCTGATCTACTGGGATTTTCACGCTTTGTTGATGAGTCTCAAATTTTGCTGCGACATTCAGATGGTAGGGTCAGAATTTGGCTTCCACAACATGAAAGTATAGATCCATTCTGCCTTGCATCAATGGTTTAGGTTGGTGGTGGGGGTGTAATGGTGTGGTGGATATTTTCTTGGCACACTTTGGGCCCATTAGTACCAATTTAGCATTGTGTCAACACCACAGCCTATCTAAGTATTGATGCTGACCATGTCCATCTCTTTATAACCACAGTGTACCCATCTTCTAATGGCTACTTTCAGCAGGATAACGTGTCATGTCATAAAGCGCGAATCATCTCAGACTTGTTTTTTGAACATGACAATGAGTTCACTTTACTCAAATGGCCTCGAGAGTCACCAGTTCTCAATCCAATAGAGTACCTTTGGGAAGTCGTGAAATAGGAGATTAGCTTCTTGGATGTGCAGCCGACAAATCTGAGGCAAATGTGTGATGCTATCATGTCAATATAGACCAAAATCTTTGATGATTATTTTGTTAAATTTCTGCCATGAAGAATTAAGACAGTTCTTAAGGCAAAAGTGGGTCCAACCCGGTACTAGTAAGGTGTACCTAATAAAGTTGTCGGTGAATGTATTTTTGTTGCCCAGTTTGTGCTGTTTACAGTGGTATTAAACTTTAACCACTTACCTGAATATGTTTATACAGCAGGGATCTAAAAAAAGCACAAAGCATATCGAGGCATGTCAGAAGTTCTCTAGTCCACCAAAACACCCTGAGACTGCAAAGGGTTAAGACACATCTATACTATAGGCTTGCCTTAGACAGATATTTAAAATTTAGATATTTTGAAATGAATATTCCCAGAAGAAAACAAGACTATATATGAGCAGTGGCATAGCATAACAAATCCGCAGGTCCTCCCTGTGGTTTCCCCATGGTAGAAATCACAATTTGGGCTAGAAATGGTTCTGGTCCGGGGTTGAACGGCCATCCGCTACACCACTTTTTTTTGTGGTGTTCAGAAACAGCGCTTATTGATGTAGAGAATAACTCCTCTTTGGAGCAGACTTTGTGTTTTGTAACTTTGATCTTTTCCATGCTCAAGCAGCAACATTACACACTAAGGGAAATTTAAAAACTGTAAAAAATCATTAAAAAAAACCCTTTAAAAAGTTTTGCTGAAATCAAAATGGAATTTTTGAAGGGGTGTTAGTATCAGTATGTGGTCTTAGGTTTAAAGCAGTTTTCTGAAGACATAACCATTCAAAGCTTGGAGTTTTTCACTTCTTCATGGCATTGTGCATGGCATTACATGCACAATGTTTTCTAATTGTTCTACTTCTGTCCAATCAAATGTTTTGTGGAATCTGATACCTGTAGGTCTATTTATGGAAGATGCTACAGCAATGGCTAACTAATTACGGCAGTTGACACATATAATAGAGTGTACTACATACAGTAGGGGATAGGATAAGTACTGTAAGTATGGATAAATATTACTCATGAAAAACATTTGTAAATATTATATCTGATGTAATATTTGATAAAACTGTGACATTTCGCTATAGTTTTAGTGGAAATCACATCAAATAAAGAAGCATTTTATGGAGATTAAAAGACATTTACCAATGTAACAGTTTTGTCAGTTAATTGTAGTTGCTATAACAAGTACAATGAAAATATATCTGTTTCTCTTTCACCAAAAATGATGTTCTTTGTAGTGCACCTTTGTAGAACCTGAAACTTTTATTATTATTGTTTATGTAAGGGTCCATCTATTAGTCCAATGATGGAACTAACAGCATGGGTGAAGGTCAATTCTATGTAAGCCTTTTTAGCACATGTGAAAAGAAATATTATTTGTTTAAATTTATTTTAATTTGTTTACAACTCTGAATTTAACCTGACTCCAATTAATAATAATTAAAATTTTGATTCATTTCATTCAAACTGATCACCTTCTGGGTTGTGATTTAGTCTAATTTAGATTGATTAACTTAATAAATCCTTATTCTCAGTTAATGGTTCATCATTTACAGAAGTCGCTTAGAATCAGTGTGCTGGCCAGTTACATCTGCTCACGGACACAACCTCGCCACTTCTGGTTTTTACATAGAGGATATAACTGTAAAAAAATTTCCTTTAAGTAATATTAGGCCGTCCCATGCTTGCTCATACATAAAGAAAATTTTATTTAGCAACTAGATTATATCGTACTAAGTGAGTGATTGTCAGAAAACAACAGGTCTCTAATGCTGAGTCTATGCTCCATTCGTTAAGTCTGAATGTATGTACAAATCCTGGCCTTAAATATACCCAGAGATACATTTAAGAGTTAGAGATTAATACCTGACCGTGTAGAAGTACGTTGCAGCATATCAGTCTTGATGCAGAGCTCAGAGACTCACACACTGCAAAAGGGTATTCTGGCCACAGGATCCCACAGACACTTTTGCACCTTTCTCCAAAATACTCAAATCTCAACAAATATGAATTCATGAGTTCATGAGTTGATATGAAGACCATTTTCCCTAGAGTGAAGCATCTGGCAAAGATCTTATCAAAGCCAAAACCCAGATCAACGTATACAAGTGAAATGTTACTGTGAAATTAAGACACTTTACCATTCACACAGAGACATTTAAAATGACACCAAACAAGATACTCCATATTAAAACTTGGACATTCTGTCTGGAATGTGTGTGATCTGCTCTGGTGGAGAAGGTAAATAGGGGCAGAGAGAGGGGCTCAAGCTGCATGATCAAGACAGTTGAACAACTGGTTTTCTAGCTGATCTTCTTCTCAGATAAGGAAGTTTATTGTTTTAGTGCCTGAAAATTCTTGTGGTTTTGCCTAGTTGAATTCCATAACAATTGGAAAGAGAGACTTAGCTATACTTACATTAATAAATTCTTTTATGGGGATATTTTACAGCCACAAGTGCTTTTCCTTTTTAAACTTTATCCCTCCAAATTCTTGAACATAGTGCATTTCAACCTTTTTTAATTTTGCTGTATATCCAATTTTTTATTGAATCTCTGAAGTTTCTATCCTCTGTTTTTATGAAGCTCAGAAATTAACAATGATTTTCTATATAATGAATAGTTTTATCTTCCCAGCTGCATTTTCTCTATACTTTCAGACTCGAGTCATGTTTTCATGTGAAATAATGTAATTTAAATATTTTGATGAATTCTTTCAGCTTCTCAGATCAATGAGATGCATTTGACCTTCATCTCAATTCCGTGACTTATTGTAAAGCACTGTAAAAAGCATGCCTATCCTTTGTCATCATAAACAGAAGTTAAACACAATGACATACAGTACTCTTTCAAGAACTGTAGTAGCCAAAAGTGATGCTTGGCCAGGAATTCATACCTCGATTTTTATGCAAACGTTTTGCGTGTTATTTTGATATAAATTTATAAGG